GTCGGAGAAATTACAAAGACATTTGCTGAGACACCATAGTGACACAGAGAAGCAGTTTCTTGCAGAGAAGCAGGCTCCAGAAGACTATCAGATAAGGTTGACTCTCTGACCCATAGCATATTGTATAACCATGCTTTATGCATATTCAGAAGTAAGAAGGGGGTCATCTCCCAACAAGCTGATTAAAAGAGACTGAGAAAACAGGCACCAGCTAATCGTTATACAATAGGGCGCCCAAGCCCCAAGGTCAAATAACTGCTGTCTGTACAGATAACACATAACATTAACTGAGGTGAGGACAGATTTGGAGACACAATGGTACAACATCCAATTTAATATTTTAATGCATTTTCTTTTTAACTCTTTGGGCTATGCCTTACCCAATAAAGAATAGATTAACCACACATTATTCATAATGCATCAACATAATCAGTAGAAGAAGAGGAAGAAGAAGACCCTATGTATCCCCCGGGTTAGCATATTTTCAATCTGTTTGTTGAATTCACAGTTCAAATACACACATCCACAATAATATAGATATTCTGGCACCAGGGAGTAGTTGGGGGTTTGATGCCTTGCATAAGGACACCTTGACAGTGCCCAGGTAGTGAACTGGCACCTCTCCAGCCACAAGTCCACACTCCGTATTATTCAAGTCCAATCGGGACTCGCAGGTACTGAAATGGACAGTTTCAAGAAAGCTACATCGTTTTTAAATGTTGGCTTTAGCTACAGTATTGTTCTATTCATTCAAAGACCTACATATGAGCAGATTGTTTTAATGTGCTATTTGTTTGATGTGTTTATTGCAGTTTTTGTAGCTTTTTGTTTTGCAGTTATTGTCTCTCATCAGACAATCGTAGAAAAGTGAAAAACAATAAAAGTAAATACTAACAGCCAATTTGTGGAAGGTTTGACAGCTTGTGTCATCCTCTCCCCTTCGACTCTTTTGAAAATCCTCGAACATTTCTCACTGAATCTTCAAAGCCCATATTTTCGGGACTGCGCTACAGTTTTTGGAGTCAGCATGTTGGGTGAAAAGGATGAAGCAGTGAGAGGAAGGGAGTGAGCAGGTCAGAGGAATCCGGGGGATGATGCTGGACAGGAGGACAAATAAAACCGCTGACTTCATGAATGATGCATAGCTTTTCTGTCTTCATTATACACTTCCGGGCAATTTGATTATGCAGGTAAACAAAGCTGTATCAGTGGGAAAGGGAAATGAGATAGAGAGAGAGAGTGAGGGAGCGGGGAGAAGAGGGGAAGTGGGTGTTTCTGAGTTTATTGGTGTGGGTGTGCCAATAAGCAGGAGATAGTGAGAAGAAACTGAATAAAAAAATGGAGAGATGAACATATGAGAGGGTCAGCTGGAGGATTTCTACACTGAAAAGTCTACAGGAGTTTTAAAACACAACTCGCCTCATTGTTGCTGCTGTCAGCATGGTTATACTTTACCACCTTGGCCTCATTCAAAAGGAAATGAAAGGGCTTTTATGTTGCCGATAAAGAGCGGCCTGTCTTTTCCTGACTATACATTCTCCCTCTGCTGCCGCCAGTGTCTGCATGACTCGGGTTTGATGTTGTGTTGAAATAAAAAGGGCATCAGGAGTGCAGAGGCCCTTGTGAATAAAAGCTGAAATGTGCCAGGTTCTCTGTCTTCAGCTCTTTTGCTTCTGTCAGTATCACAGTTTGCAAGGACAGACATCTGTCATGCCCTGTGACTCGATGTCAAGCAGTATGTGTGTGAGAGAGCTGAAAAGCGTGTTTGTATGTGTGTGTGTTTGTCGCTCTTCACTCCGCCCCGCATGTGAGTTGTCAGCTGCGGGCGATGTGTATTTTGTGGCTCTCGGTAATAAAGCCATTAATCACGTTCGCTGTGTGCCACAAACATGCCACGCTGCACTCGCTGCGAGATGTCTCACTCTGTCTGTCCCACGATGCAACATCAGATGCAGCTCACTGGAGTGGAATGGGAAACGGCCCAGTCTGGTGTTCGGTGCATTTTTGTGTGTGTGCATTGAATATGTTTGTGTGACCATGTACAGTATAGCTGTGAGATTATATGAATGGATAAGGGCGTGTTCAGACAAAGAAGCACTTACAACCGCAATGTAAAGACAATGAAAACGTATGTTCTTGGATTCACTAATTACAGACTTTGCAGTTTGAGTCTCCTCAAAAGAACACATAGTTAACCATAATTAAATAATAACTGTATGTAACGTGGAGCATTGATAGGGTTTAAAACATATCCCTTATTCAATGTGCACAGTTGGGGTGCAAATCATATTATTTTTTGTCAAAGGTTAAATTATTTATTCGTTTTTTGCCTTTCATCGATCAATAATTCAGGTTGTAAATGGCTTAATGATGCCTTCTAAGGCTGAAGGTAGGGGTGGGCAATATGGCATAAATGTTCCATAAAAATATATGTAATTTCATATCTTGATAAAAATATCACATTATAGGATTTTCTTTTTAGTAACTGAATACAAATTATATATTTTTTTCTTTTTCTTTTGAGTGCTGTTAGATTTTCTGAGAAATCCTAGAAATTATCATCTGCCTGTTAATATCAATTGAGATGGCATCATTTTGTCGCGATATATGATTTCCATTATAAAATGATAAATCATCATATTAAAATATCACCCAAACCCCTAGATGTAATGCATAACTTTCTTATTAATTATAATTAATAAGTCAACGTTATAAGTTTGAAAACTATCAACCTTTAGAAAAGCAAGCAGAGGAACACACAGAATTATGTTAACAGATAATTGTCATTGATTCCTTTTCTATTAAATTGCCACTTTTTAAGCATAACTTCAGTAGGAAATGTTATAGTTGAACTGTTAATCAAAAACAATAATCAATAGATATATTCCCCATTTGAAAATCTGTTGTTTCAGCCCTAAAATGGCCACACTTCAGAAGTGTATTTTATCAGTCTTCTCTGTCAATATATATTTTTTTCATATATAGAGAGTCGAGACACGCACACACATGCAGCCCGTTGAGTCGGTGTGAAAGGTAACAGCGGCACATGCGAAGTCAGGTGCTCGGCAGAGTGCTGTGTCACTCTCCAGTCACCACGCTCACTAATGCGCTCTTATTTGGCCATCAATCCTCTTTAGCTGATGTCAGCAGGTTTTCTACAGCTCCATGGTCATACATAAGCAATGAGAGATTGTCGATCATCTCGCATTATGGTCCATTTAGGAGATGGTTGATGGTGACGAAAATGTAGATGTGGGGCCAAATGTTTCCCGAACAAGCTTTACTTAGCAGCTTCCGGACCAGCCTCCAAGCTGTTAGGAGACATTGTTTGATGTTGCTGTACAAATGGGAATTTTGAAGTCTTGGCTAAATTGTTCTACTCTTGTGTAGGGTTTGGTAATATGAAAATAATCTAATATCCCAAAACTTTCAAACAAATACCTGAATATCAATGTTGTGACGATATGGTTGATTTTGCCATCAAGCAGGTAAAGCCAAAGAACAGAACAGCTAAAAAATGAATAATAATACATATTTAATGATAACAGCCTGTTCTAATAAGTCTACCCTCCAATACACAACCCCCTTGACTCAAACGTATACAACTGATATTTGTATGAACCACAAGCCAGTGGAAGAACAAACTACTCAGAACTTATACTAAAAATGCCGCTTCGTCACTTTAAGATATATAAATGTTTTCATATGGTGACTGTTGTTTTATTTATATAAGACAAATGTCCCTTTTATGTTTATTTAATGGACAATAAAGTATTGAATCTGAATTTGTTGTCTGTTAATTCAGACAATTACACTTCACTGTAAAAAAAACAACACAGGGTATAACAATATCCAAAATGTGGATTATATCTATTCCCCTATACATAATATTGATATATTTCACAGCCCTCGTCTGGTGCTTTACGCCCTTTTTAATTCAAGTTGAGAAGCTTTTTTAGAGAACAGTGTCCGAATGATAAATAGCGCTGAGTCAGTGGAGAGATAGCTTTGAGTCAAAGGTATAAACTTTCTAAATGTATTGCCTTGCCCTACCAAAAAGGCCAGGTTATTCCACTCTCATAAAAATGTGAAAGCCCTTAACAACCTCATATGTCTTTGTTCCTCTCACCTAAGGATATGCACAGTATTGATCTAGGAGTGCTGTCTTTGCAGAATTTATGTGCTTCCTGTAATGGAACCCTCTTATTGCTGCACTTTCTACCTTTTGTCTTTTTCCCCGCGATATCACCCTTGCCTCTTTCAATTCCTGCCTGTCCCTCTTGCTCTGTTCCCATCAGCACATGTAAGAACCTTCTCACCTTTCAGCATTACTAACACACACACACACACACACACAAATCTTACTCTACTTCTTCATTCGATCACCTCTCTAGCTCTTCTGTTGGGTTTCTTTTCTTCAAATCCTCCCACACTTTTTCCAATGTTCACTTTCCATCCTGTTGCCTCTCTCTTCTGCCTGTCAATTAAAGGTCACCTATTATGCAAAATGCACTTTTTGTATCTCTTTTATACATAAATGAGTTTCCCCGGTGTGTAAGGAGACTCACAAATTGTCAGAAAATACAACCCTCTGAAAACGGGGGTAAAACGGAGCTGATCCAGATTTGCTTCGGACTTGACATCATATCGGAAATGTGGGCTACCTTTGCATTGAAAGGGGAGGCGGAGACTCGCAAACACTTCCACAGAGGGGCGTGGCGAGCAGCAGCTCATTTGCATTTAAAGCTACAGACACAGGATCAGCCCTTTCGAAAACAGGGCTGAAACAGTGGGATATGGGAAATGCTAAAATCCATGATCTGTTTGGTATTTGGAGCAAAACACTTCAGAGACATGTTTTTTATATATCTGAGACCATAATATATGCCCAAGAAAGAGAATAACAGGAGACCTTTAAGTTATTTTACATGGTAAACACAACAAGAACACATTGCGTATATTTTCAATTGACTCTCTGCTTTGTTCTCTACTTTCTCCAGACTTGGACGTGCGCTACTTCTGGAAGTGGAGCGTGTTCGAGGACTACCTGCTCTTCTGCTTCGGCTTCACCGTGCTGTTTGCGGTCGTCACCCTGCTGCTGCTGGACTCCGCCATGTTCGTGGAGACGCTGGGCTCCCTGGCCGTCATGTTCGAGGCCATGCTGGGCTTCCCACAGCTGCTGCAAAACTTCCACAACTGCTCCACCAAAGGCATGAGGTACGTACGGCACACTTTGAGGTCGAGCAGGGCTTTGTAGAACGCTCATAGCTCACTTTACTCACACTGTGAGTACACTGCCACAGAAGTATAATAGTGCTCACCAACACCCAAAGCACATTAACCCTGATGTCCAGGGCGTGCAAATGATTTATTTCCTCATGAAATATGCTAACAAGGTCATTTATAAGCATTAGAGACTAAATTAGAAGTACAAAAAACAGAGTTGAGGTTTAAATTAACTCACACGACTGAGTCCTGAACAAGTATCCAACAGTTATCTGTTTCATTGAAAAGGATTAATGCATTACCAATGAGGAACAGTGACACACTAATTGAAAAAAATATCAATCTCCCTCTTTCAGGCCTTTTGTTTAAACTGCCATTATTGCAGGCAACAAAATAGAATTTAACATGCATTCCAAAATCATTTATCAATAAGAATCGACATTTTCCTTCCAAGAAATGTCCCTGATTATACAATTACATGTCGCATTTAATTTCCTTGAGGTCAAATTAAAGGTCTCCTTCAATTGAAAGAGGCAGTAGAGGGTGAAGGAGGGAGGTATTCAAATGGCTTGCATTTTGAATGTTTTCTTGGTACAATTATGTGAAAGTGTACATTGATTAGCCCCTCACGTAGAAGACTGCAAGATCAATTACGCCCCTAATGGCTCAGAACCTCATAGTAATTATGATCGTTATTTCCTGATTATGTCTCTTGTCTGTCATCTGGGCAAAAACTGAGCATTGCATTGTGTGTGGGTATGAAGTGTAGCCGCATGATTGGCTAGTCACTCGTCTCTGAAAGTAGCTTAACAAAACTAAGCAAAATATTTGTACATCCTCTCTCCCATTTTGATTCAAGGTAATATTCAAGAAGTATAATAGCCACAAAGACAAGGGAATATCTCTGCTTGTCTAGCTGACATCTCTCAGTGGATGTCTGCTCACCACCTCAAGCTCAACCTTGACAAGACTGAGCTGCTCTTCCTCCCGGGAAAAGATTGTCCCACTCTTGACCTAACAATCAACATCGGCACCTCAGTTGTTTCCCCGACTCAGACTGCAAGGAATCTGGGTGTGACCCTAGATAACAACCTGTCCTTCACTGCAAACATCGCTGCTACAACCCGTTGCTGCAGATACACGCTTTACAACATCAGGAAGATACGTCCCCAGCTGACTCAGAAAGCGACTCAGGTTCTGGTCCAGGCTCTCGTCATCTCACGCCTAGACTACTGCAACTCCCTCCTGGCTGGTCTACCTGCATGTGCCATCCGACCTCTGCAGCTCATCCAGAATGCAGCGGCTCGTCTGGTCTTCAACCTTCCTAAATTCTCCCACACCACGCCGCTCCTCCGCTCCCTTCACTGGCTTCCGGTAACTGCTAGAATCCACTTCAAGACACTGGTACTTGCTTACCATGTTGCGAATGGATCTGGCCCTTCCTACATCCAGGACATGGTTAAACCGTATACCCCAGCACGTGCACTCCGCTCTGCATCAGCCAAACGACTCGCTGCACCCTCGCTGCGAGGGGGACCCAAGTTCCCATCAGCAAAAACACGTGGGTTTGCTGTCCTGGCTCCAAGATGGTGGAATGAGCTCCCCATTGACATCAGGACGGCAGATAGCTTGCACATCTTCCGGCGCAAACTGAAAACTCATCTCTTTCGACTCCACTTCGAGCGATAGAACTATTAACGAAGCACTTTTATACTAATAAAGGACTGGCTTACCTAAAGCCAGTGGAGTAGCACTTGAAATGTTTGGCTCTATGAAACCTGATTTACTTATATGATTCTGTTTTCTTCAAGGTTGTGTCTTCCTGGTCGAATGTACTTATTGTAAGTCGCTTTGGATAAAAGCGTCAGCTAAATGCAATGTAATGTAATGTAATATGATGATTGTCCTAAAATCAGGATTTTGTTGTGACATTCAGCAACTATCTCTGTTGGGAATGACAGGTAGGTGGAAAAATATGTATATATGATTATGGCGTGAACCTTCCCTTTAAGTCTCACTGTGTTTTCTCTTGATTAACTGTGACTGTAGCTTTTAAACCTAAAAACATGCACAGAAAATATAATTATAGCTGGCATTTATATTGCCTCATTTCACACACGCATCCATAAACACCGGGAATAAGCTCTGAATATACTTTAGTTTTAAGCAATGGTGTAGTTAAGGATGCTGCAGTATAAGTAGTTTACTGTATGAATTACAAGATGTTCTTCCTTGGTAATGTGACCTGCCCCACCGGGGAGGGGGGCTGCGATAATAAAAGGGGGTTAGGATACTTAACGCTAACCTGGGTTCCCCAATACGAGCCCTTAGGACAAGTCACGCAGATAAGAATAAAAGGATGGACAGGGACTCAAGTTCAAATGTTTACAAACGTTTATTATATAAATAATCAAGTAAAAGTTCAGTAATATAAAATGCAGATTACAACTTATTTAGCTTTCCCAGTCGACACACCTAAGTCCCACGATTGAAGGCTGGCTCTGACAAGGAGAGAATAACTAGAATAATTACAATATCACACATATAGTGATAGTTAAATAGTTAAAAAGTGATTCTTCTGGCCAACTGCTGAGGGTTTCCCCAAAACCACAATATCACCACGTGTAGCTGTATTAAATCAACACTCACTGCAAATCACCCATATCTGCATGCAAAAAGTCCCCAGCAAACCACATGCTCCACTCCACAGTATGGCCAGGATCGTCACTGAAGAAGTATAAGCACAGAGACAGTATTAGACCTTGTGGGATAGGGTGGGTCGTTACAAGGAGGGTGCTGTAGCTTTAAAGATTTAAATCACTAGTTTGTACACAATACAACAAACTAGTCAATAAGCAAAACATAGAAGGTAGGCAAAACGGTAGCAAACTAATCCTAAAATAAATGGAGAAAGGAGATTAGAAATTGTATAAAGACTTATATGAATGTCCTTCAATGTACATACAATTAATCTCCTACCTCTGATGCAAACGCATTCACTCAATTATCACCTCACTGGACACCTCCGCAACGGTGATTCTCTACACAGTCTCTGCTGGGGCTGTCAAGAAGCCTGGCGTTTACAGGCCACATGTTAACAATTTAGTGGTACACTGAATGTTACAAGTCCTAACAGCAGCTTCACATACCTCGTATAGGGGGAATACACGCCTATCAGCCAGACAACGATAACTGGAACAAGAACACTCGTAATAGTCACAGCTGATTTGGGTGAGGAGTGAGTGGGCATTTAAAGTGTGGCGGGAGATGCTGAACTACGTACAGCTGCGCGTTTTCCTTATATGGAAGGGCCAGCTGACTAAAGAAGGGGGTGTGTGTCTTAAAAGGGCCAGTGGCGGCCCAGCCACGTGAAGAAATTATCTGACAGCTAATCCAGAAAACAGTAGCGCCGGCTACAATCTGCCCCCAATTTGTTGTATTGGCGACCCGCCGATATCACCCAGTACTATAACAGCTGATTAGTTCCAGAGTCTAAAATATGCAGCTACCATACTACTAAAACAAGGGACCCGAGAGGTTACAGCCCCAGGTAGCCTAACCTCTGCTACCTCTGCTACCTCAGGCAGGCGATGAGGGTTCGAGTGTTGACCCGCTGTTTTCCGAGCTGTTCTCCTTGGGGGCTCTGTCCCGCTTCCTGAAGCCACTGCGAGGGATGAGTTTAGAGGAGAACTATTAGAAGTGGCTGGTGTTATCTGGAGCGGTCTTGATTCTTCACCAAAGGACCTGGTCACCACAAAGAGACCATCACCCGCTTCTTCCTCAAGTGTGTCCCTGCCCATAGCCACGTGGTCCTCACTCTCAGTGGGGGCATTACTGGGGTCTTCTCTTGCAGATCCTTGAGGGCAAAGATTAGGAGGTACAGGTTTGATCATACATCGATGGAGGTGTTTCACTTTGTGGGGATCTTCCAAGGAGGTCACGGAATATGTGGAGCCCCCAGCACTGGGGGCCTTGATCACCACATGTATGACTGGGCTCCACCGGTCCTGGATTTTGACTCTACCTCTTCTGCTGTGGTCTCTCACGTAGACCAGCTGTTTTTCCTGCAGGTCGCTGGCATTAGCTCCAGTGTCATGGCGTTCCTTGCGAGAGTTTGCAGCTTTCTCCATTCTCCAACGTGCCCCGTCGTAGGCCACCTGTAGTCGTTTTTGATGCTCCTGGACCCAGGTTTCAACTCCTCCATGGGAAGGTTCTGGAACTCTTCCCAGGAGGAAGTCAACAGGTAAATGAGGCTCCTGTCCAAACATAAGGTAGTAAGGGGACTCACAGGTAGATTGGTGGATGGTGGTGTTGTATGCAAACGTAACCTGAGGCAAGTATCTAGACCAATTCTGCTTCCTTTCAATTGGGAGCGTACGGAGTAAATCATGGAGAGTCCGGTTGAACCGCTCACACTGCCCGTTACCCTGGGGGTGGTATGGTGTAGTCCGGGTTTTCTGAATGTCGTAGAGTTCACATAGCTGTTGAATAAGGGCACTCTCAAAATTCCTACCCTGGTCAGAGTGAAGACGAGCAGGCACTCCAAACTTGTAAAACCACTCTGTCACCAGAACATGTGCTACTGTTGAGGCACGTTGGTCCTTTGTTGCTACAGCCTGGGTGAACTTCGAAAACACGTCAGTCATTACAAGGACATTTTCTTTGCCCTCTTGCGAGGGTTCAAGGAGAGTAAAGTAAATTGCCAATATCTGATTGGGTTTGGAGGCCAGGAGGTGGCCCATGGGTGCTTTGGTGTGTGGTTGAGTTACCTTGGCAAGTGTACAGCGCTCACACTGCTGGCACCACTCTTTGATGTCTCTGTGCATGTGGGGCCAGTAACATCTTTGTCGTACAAGATCCATTGTCCTCTCCATCCCCTGGTGGCCGTGACCCTGGTGTAGCTGCTGCAGAACCTCACTCTTCAGACATCCTGGAAGGAGTAGTTGGTAGAAGTCCTCTCCTCCATCTGGCCTCTGGGTACGGCGATACAG